CGTAAGCTCCTCATAGTTTTCAATTTACTGACTGTCAGGACAATATGTAACTCTGTATTCAATTTATCAGCATTCATTCCAGTCACTTCTCTATTCTATAAACTTGTATCACCAAACACATTTCATAGCATATGCAGTAAAACAACATTAATTAAAAACTGGATAATTCAAAATATAATGTAACTGGAAGTTTTATCACTTGGAAAGACAAGATTTAGTAATTTTCAAACACAATCATAGCCTACATTTGGTTAAATTTCAATTTAGTCATCCAATAGAACTGGTTAATTTTAACTGAAAACTCAGTTCATGAACGGTAAAGATAATCAGAAGTTAAAAAGCTGCTTGTACTCCTATAGTCTCAACTATCACAACTGTTAGACCACTAGAAGGAAAGAAATTTCTACAGTTCTTGTATTTCTCTCTGTCCCAACATTTATTATGTAAAAATACATTGTACTTCTTTTATCTGGGATGATACCTATTATTTTTACTTTTCTGCCTCTACCTTTGTCAAGTTATGATGTTTATTTGATCTATTTTGTTTTCAGCATGATACACTCCTTTTGACCTATGCGTGTATTGCAATTTCCAGCACATGATGGACTGATTCATAATCTGAAGTTGACTGAACTGTACTAGTTGTTATGTGACTGTCCATACACTATGTAAATAAAAAAAAATTAAAAATCTGAATTGAAACTGAAATATCAGCATACCACTTTCTTAAGGGGAGATTTTTTTAACTGTTTGGTAATTCACATAAAACTTTATCCCAACTTTTGCATCAAATTAATAAAAGTAATAAAAAATTATATGTCAGTATGACAGCTGATCCAACCCAATCCTGTCTTCAAGATAAGAGCAGAGTTAACTCCCAAAATGCTGTGTATAGTAATTGCTCTTCAGAATATGGCAATGCCAAATATAATAATGATATAATGAATCAGTCGACATCCCAAAACTTTACAGAAGCTATATAACAACTTCACCATACCTCCAAAAGTTGGCCTTCATGAGATACATTGAGCAATTGTGAACTCAAAACTTTCAAAAGAGCCTCTGGTGGCATAAGCACGAAATCCTCTTCCTCCATCACAGCCTTGAAGTTGAGCAGTAAGTACCGGAAGACCCTATAAGCTGTGTACTTATCACCTCGCAAACTGGCACGCACATATACTGATAAACAATTACTTGCACTCAGTGCTGACAACAGGTAATGTGAACAAGCTGCTTGTAGGGCTGACACTTGCAAAAAATCTGCCATTTCCAACATCACATACACATTTTCTTCAGTCATCTAAAATCAACATAAAAAAAATTCTTTCTCAGTAACGATATACAAAGCCTTTACCATTGGCTAGGCATACTTTAGGATTCCAAAGGTTTATAACACTTGTTCTACTAATGGATATTTTTTTTGGCATGTCACCATACAGATTTCACATGTCAAGCTAAAATTATTAATCAGTCATTAGCACAAAACTGAAAAACTTCTCATGATCCAAAAAAAATCTTATATGTTACACCTTTAGAAGATATACAATCAGACCCAATTTTATGGTCTGACAGAATGCTACTAGTGCTGCTCCCAAATCACAAGTTCCTACCACTAGAATGTTCATATCGTACATCAAACAGTATTAAGACAAGCAGGTTTCCAATGGCATGTCAATAGCATATAAGATAATGAAGGAAATAGCTAGATAGGCACAAATTCATAATCATTCTCTCTGTTATCAATAAACTGTTGCCAAATAGCTTTTGAATTAATCATTAGATCGTCACAGTAGAGGACAAATAACTACTGTAATAGCAATTATGACTTATTCAAGAAGTTACTGGTACCTTACATCTATATGTCCTGTGTAGAAGAAGGAAATAATATCTCTCAAAATGGGAAATTCCATTTCATGCAATACAATACGATCCTGCATTGTTTCAGTCAACCCTGAAGTAAACATTGCCCTGTAATAAACACAACAAACATTATTACACTAAAAGAAGACATGCTGGAGTACTTACCTTCTTTTAGGTGCTGTTACCAGAAAATCAAAGCCAGCCAACAGCACAAAACAGAAATTTGTTAATATAAAACTTCCACTACAGAAATTTCCACATCTAAATTAATTAACTCCATGGTAAAATCGGTTTCCTGCAGTTACTCAAGTGTTCATTAACCCTACTGATTCATAACCTGAAATTTCAGCATTTGATGTCACAATATAATACACAAAAACAAAATTACAACATAAGGTAGAAAATCACCTTCAAATTACTGAAATGCCTAACTGGTGAAATGGTGCAAAGGTGTGTACATATACAGGTGAATAAGAAAGTTTGTAAACAGAATGATAAATGGACACATAATAATAGATAAATAACAGATAAATAAGCCCACACACCTAAACTGACCTGATCTTGCCTGAACTGACATAACTTGGCCAGAACAAAACAGAACTGAACTAAACTAACCTAAACTCACCTAATGCAACCTAAATTAAAATTAACTACACTAGAAATTAATTATTTAAGATCAATGCCATTCAGTGTAGAAATCTAAAATCCTTATATTCTTCCCAGTTATTTTATGTACAATAATTGTACATAAAATAACTTTCATATGCAATTATTGCATATGAAAGTTTGAAGAGAATATTTCTGCTTCAAATTGTGAAGAACACTTCTAGGAAAAGTACATGGCACTGCTAGTAAAGCAGACAATAATTACTCATGTGAAGGCTTTGATATGCCCCTCCCCCCCTTTTTTCAATCTACATAAATTTGAACTTTAGGAAGATATTTAGAAGTTATTTGCATGTTTAAAGAATAAAGATGTGTTGTGTAAATGCAGCCTATATTCTAAAATCCATATTTCCAAAAAGATTCAGGGAGACAACCCCTGCTTAGTGATGTGAAAAAGAGGAATGGTATGGATGTTAACTCACTACTTCTGAATCACACAGATTTATTTTACCTAACTCTTTCAGTTATGCTTTTGGTAAGTTCAGTACCTCAAGGTTGTCCAGAATGGGCGCCCAAACTCTGAGTTCCATCAAAAGTAGGAAATTTCTTGAATAGTTGAGTGTACTATCAGCTTCTAACAAATTGAATTTTTAAATAACTTGTCAGAAACACTAAATATGATAAGTTTGAGATAAATCATTAAATTCTTAGACCAAAATGTATGATGAGTGGTGTAGTTATAATCAAAAATAAGTTTTGAAAATTTATCTGCAAATAGCTATAGCATGCCTACCTGAAATATGGAGATGCAGAAGCCAACACAGCTTTGTGTGCTCTAATCTCATCTCCATTAACAACAAGGGTCACATCACATAAAGAACCTGTATTCTGCAACTCAAAAAGACTTTGCAGTATACATATAGGATGTAAGCCATCATGGAACTTGTACACTGAAGACATTCTGTACCTGTAATGAAGTACCAAGCAGTATAAATTATGAAAAATACATTCCTCAAACTTTCCCTGACATATGTAAGTACAGCTAAACCTCACTTGGGCTCGCAATTCTTGGCAGGTTGCTCTTTGCCATACACAAAGCCAATATCAATAGAGATGACCCATGTAGCTGTCTGGGACTCATTGCCCTGCTGATGGTGGAAGCAAGGGCCTCAGAAATGCTAGTAAACTTCTACCTAATTATGTCACTACAGCCCAGCAGACAGCCATCTTCGTACTCACAGCTGCGAAAGCCTCAAATCCTACAAAGACAGCCTTCCTATTACACAGATACCTACTACACTCTTTAATTGGTTTCCATGTTTCTAGTTACTACTGTAACTCGTACCTTCGTGAAGATTTCTAGACACAATGAGATATCGAACGCATGCGCTCTGCCGCTCCATCAAGCAGGAAGAACTTGTACAGACAAGACAAAAACCTAGACTGACAACAAACACCTGACGGTGTGATATGCTCTTGCAGGTCGTTACCAATGTTTGATAAGCATACATTGTCACCATATAAACATGAGCAGTCTTGCTGTCGATCACGGTCTACAAACGTTCCGAATAATATAGGAACCGTGAGATGGGCCGGGTAAGCAAACTCAATTTTAAAAACCACGTTATCTATGATACGAACCACAAATTTAAACATACGATCGTCGAATGAAACTCCACAACCTGAGAATCAGGCCCCTGCTGCCATCTATCGACAGAACCGTAAACCACTGGTAAAAGGGTATATAGACGAAATTTATTAATACACACGTCACAAGATTGAAAATGTAAAATTAAGTATTTTCAAGGACCGACTTGCGTGTACAAATTACGTGACACTGGTATTGATCTTGTGGAAATTTACCACTGGCACTCAGACTACTGCTGGGTCCACTGTTCACCCCTGCTCTTGTTAGAACCCTTTCAAAACTTGTACAGAGCCCTGGTCACAAAGCTACAGGCAGAAGAAACCTTGGTGAGATCTTCCAACTATCCAACTGCTCTACCCACACCTGTAACCTCTAATCACCTGCATATTACATTGTCATTGTAGGATGGGCTGTGATGAGAAAGCAGAATGTAACCAAATGTACACCTTTAATTATGGGTATGGCCTTATGACAACCAAACTATGCCATACAAATAAGAGGGCCATTGGTATGACATCAGTTGTCTTTTGCAGTTGTTATTTTTCTGAGAATAAACAAACACCTCTAGAATTAAATTCTACTAGAACTTAATTTTATTATGTACTTCACTTAAAGTGTTTTGGCCCCACAAATTGTCTATATAATCACCCTCTAATTCAATAATTTCTTTATATTCATGTAAAAGTTTTATAGGAACACCTAGAAGTAGACAAGTTATTTTATGCATACTCAAAGAAAGATAGCTGTGCTGCCAGTCTATGCATCATCAAGAAAGGCATGAACACTTTTCATATGACTTGTCTTTGTGCAATAAAAGTTACTGTGATTAAAGTGAAATTTTTTTTAAAAAAAGCAACACTTATATTACCTCATGGATATATTGTATGGAAGATAATAAAACCTTTGTGTGTTGGCTTAAAGACTGCTGAATTTATTCTAAGATGGTTCACTGAAAAATAGGTTTTTAGACCTCACTCCCAACATGAAATGAAACTGAAACCTAACACATAGGAAAACAGTTGAAAAGGTACTGCCAGTATATTAAGGTATATATTTAAAGGAATGAGAACTGAAACAAAGTCAGTTGATATAAATTGCTACTATGAATTTGTACTTGCCAGCTTGCAAAATTAACTCCCCTCAAGCTAGCCCCATAATATTCATATTACGCATATATCAATTTTCATTAGACTTAGTATGAAGATATTGATATTAGAAGATATTCCATGATGGCAGATCTTAATTCAACTATCAATAAAAACATAGCAGCCACATAAATTTGCAACTCAATAACATTCAAAGTAATTTTCATAAGTTTTGTAGGGTAACAGACAATTAAAATGTAAGTAACATTAATAAAATTAATCACTTAGAAAAGTAAAAGTCATATGGCAATTTTGCCAATTCTTTTACAATGATTAATTGTAATTTGACATGAAATTTTCAATGACAAGTTATAACACTATAAATTCAGTATGAAACACTGCAATTTGGTAAAGTTAAGTAATCCTAAACAGGTGTCACACAATCAAGTCAGGCATGCCATCACACTCTTTATGTCCAGACATTCAGTATACAAAAGAATATTTTGGATCACAATGTGTTATCTTAAAGAGTATATTTCACATACATTATACCAGTTTTTGCCAGCAAGGTCTAAATCCTTTGGAACCATATAATGCACAATGTCTATGGCAAGCATTTTTGTGGTGAATTTATGGCAGTATGACAGACAAGTCACTGAATGAAGCATGTGTTTATAACAGGAAAATTAATACTACAATAACAGTAATGGTTTAACTTAGAAAAGGAATTATGGGCTCTGTTGTGAGTATATAATTAAATTTATTCTTTCTCAAAAAGAAACTTGTCTCCTTGCATCCTGCTAACACACATTAAATACATATTTCTTGTAAATGACATTGTAAATTTATTCACAGTTACACAATGTACAGTGATCAATATAAGCATTTTGAAATGACTCGTCCATAAATTGTGCTATTGTATCTTATACGTATAGTTATAATGATAAGGACGACACATGATTCGAGTAGTTGGCCTGGATGTGTCGCGGAGAGGTTTTTTTTACATTGTACAGTACCACTACTTTTGTTTTCTTTACTACTTATAATTTTCTCAACACACAACTCTTGTATCATCTAAAAAAAATGAAAGGAAAATACATTATTTTTACTGCTCAAAGAAAAGATGCAATAAACAAACGTCACATCAAATCGAGCTGGGCCTGAGCTATTAATTATACTTAAGGAAAACTCAAAATAAATGTTTCTGACACAATGCCTCTGTTTGGGGATACTTCCAAGTATTATCAATATGCAAGTGTTGTTTCTGTATTTTGCTTACTGCTTTCAACAAATATTCAGAACAATTATTATAATACTACAACAGTCATTTCACTTTTGTACAAAATGACAAAAGCATTCATTTTTATTAGATCTTTCTCTATTCTCTCATATTTCTCAAATTATATCTTTCAATCACAATAACATTATATCACACACTTATTCTCCCCAGAATACTCAATCATACTCACACTTATATGTCCATATTCATACACACATGCACATGAGCATGTGCACACACACTCACACACTGAACAAGATTCTTTATTATAACAACATGTATTCACTGTCTTGTAGACTATTCTTGTTTTATCAACACAGTTAATATTTATTTATTTATTTATTATTTGTTATTCTGTAATATACTGTAATATAGCAAAGTTCATATCTCTGGGAAAAATTAAAACTGACTTTTTTAAAATTTTTGTACCAACCAGTCTTCTACAAAATTCATTTCTCTCTGAAAAGCTTAGCTTATTTCAGTTTCTAATTAAAGAAGTGTTCCCATAGCAACTTCTTTAAACAACTAAATAGCAATTGTTAGGGGGAAGGAGAGCCTAAACAAAATCTGGTTTTGGTTTGATTGCCTTTGCAACTTTCACATCCAACAACAACAAATAAACAAGTTTATTCTCACAGATTTGTGTATTTATGGGCAGCATTTATGAAAAAGTTTCTATTCTGTTACAACAGAAACTGATTATCCAGCCTAATAGATAAACTGCCATGGTCAGTGCAATATCAAATGTCATCCTACTTGTATACATGTTATCTGGGTGACTACTGGTGATCATGATTGGTTTTCATCTAATTGGGCCATTCTGCAGGTTTACCAGCTTACACATTCTTGGATAATCAGGTTCCAATCAATAATGTCTTCAATGGAAGCATATGGCTCCCTCAACCAGACAGCCATAAAATGCAATATTTAGAAAAGTAATGCAAGCATATTAAATTGGATATTTGAATACAGATATTTTGCAGCCTATACTTAAGATTAAGATGGTTACAAACCAAAACATATTTATCAAACATATTTACCCAAACATAACTGCACATGAGCTTCAATTCACAATTGACCAACAAAATTCTGTTCTTAATTGCAAACATACAAAACTATGCATCAAAACTTAAAAATGGTTTTACTAATGTATGCATTTCATATTTAAGTAAATATAGAACTTGATAACTATATATATATATATAACTATATATATATATATATATATATCACAAATAATGTTAATTAAGAAGAAACCTGCTTTTATAATGTTTTATTAAATAAAGTTTGTTCATATAATATTACATGTGATTTGCAAGAACTGAAATATTTCAAATTCAATAATGTTTTCAAATAACCATCTCTCTTCTATTATACATCCACAATAAACCCACAAAATCAACCAGAAGGGGCAACGACATGGGTACCTTCTAGTAAGATGTTAATTTTGGTTACAGCGTTTCATATTTCTCTAATCACAATATCAACTCAAGTAGTCACATGATTTGTTTCACCACAGACTCAAAAAATTTACAAGAGCAATATAAATGAAAAACAAATAAATTATAATAATAAAGGACTAGCAATGCATGTATAATTATTTTGTTTATGTTCAATTTTTAAACTTTTTTTGTAAAAAGTTGCAGTATCACGGCAGCAGAAGCAGTTACTGAAGACCATTTACACCCACAAAATAACTCTTACATGTACATACACTCATACTGGATGTCAGACATCAAACTGTAGTATTTGTACCTTAACCCCCTTCATGTACTGCTAGACACAAGAAAAAAAATTGCAACATTCCTCTTGGAACTCAGTAATAACTGCAGAGTTCATTCATCTCCTACAAACTCCATGCCCAACTAATATATTAACCATAACAAAAATTTGAAGAAAAAACAAATTTTAATGTCAGAAAACAAAATTTTCGCAAGATTCAACCAAACTTGGAATAGAGAAGTCATGCACCCTCTTCTTTCAGATAGTTCTTGTTCCTCAACAACCTCAGGGTTACACCTGGTTAGTCAATGGTCTGCAATGAGAATATCAAGGTCATATCCATGGGTGTGAACAAGAGATGGACATGGCTGGTTGCTGGAGGAATGGTTTGGGGTCCAGGCAACAGAGAAGACTAGTGTAGGTCAACTCCCTGTCTTTGTGAACAAACACTTGGAGTGCCAGACACCTCTTTAATCTTGTTTAATGATGTGCATGTCCAAACACTGTATAATCACTGTTAGCATAAGATATCTTGAAGTTATATATACTTCTTAATTTTAATGTACATTGAATTAATAGCAAAATTAACTTTATCTTCTTAGAAATCTGTGTTGTAAAACAAATAAAACTATACTTGTGGAATATCCAAGTATAAGTTTTAAGGCCAAATTCTAAATATGAGAGGTTTCTGAACAGAGAATACACATGACAGTCTATTCCAATATAATAAGCAAATCTGGTTTTATGAACATCAAATTATATTATTCAAAAACTTTGGCCATATGATCTCACAATAATATACACCAAAGTAAATTTTTTTTCACTTATTATTAAATATGTTTAAAGATAACATTTCAAGTCACACCCCTTTAGAGAGGAGTTGCAATTTTAATTACATCAATAAACAGTACATGTGTTTGTTCAGTATTAAAATAACAATGACATGGAAAAGAAAACAATACTAAAAGCATACCTAAGAATGATGGTGGTGTTGTATTTAAGTAAAAACTGGCTAATCTTCTGGTATTTTCCAACCAGAATATCAAGAGTCCTTATCATGCTTTGTGCAGGCTTCCAATTTTATAGCAATTCTTCTACTGCATGTACACTCTACAAATATAAACAAAGCAATGCTGCCTTGTTTTTATTGTAATACAAAACTAAAAAACAAACTCTCCCTCAAAAGCAAATATGAACACTTTTTGCCAATAAACATCCTGTCTGATCCTGATACCTCTGCTTTTGAGGATTCCACTTCTGAATGACAGAAAATAAAACATTCATATCTTTAAACGAGTATAAAATACCAAAATGCCTGTCAATATTTTAACCAACATGTTTGAATAAAACTATAGTAATTTAACAGGTTAATGAATAAATAATAATCATCATGTAGATAAATAATACATAATCTTGTAAAAGCAATAAAAGAAAAGACAGTAAAATATAACAAAGTAATAAACAGCTGTTAACAATACACAATAAAAACAAAATCTACAAGCATAAAATATTATCAACAATACAAGCGTTCTTTTTTGTTTTAAAATATATCAGTGTGTATACATATATTACTTTTCTGAATTAATGATGGATTAAACTTTATGTTTGTTGCTCACTTTCTTCTCTCCAGAAACAAACTCAACTGCTCGTAATGAAACTCAATTGTGGCCATGAATCATTTAATTTGCCTGTTGTTGTTATTATTATTACTATAATTATCATAATAATAATTATTAGAACTACTGTCCACACTTGTTACCCTCATTTCTCAACTCTTCAAATTATTTTCATGACTTAGACAAATGTAGGTAATAAATGCCTAATTCCAGACGCTAATATATCAATATACCAGAACACCAGTACCAACTATCACATTACCATGTGTGCAAAAGTAGAATTGTAGTAGTCAGTGGAAGAAATATTTGGGTGGGAGAAACTGTTGCTGTAAAATGGAACTTGCATAATTCTGTGCAACAATTCATATAACACATTTCATGAGGATCCAAATTTCTGTCAATGAACACTAAACTTAAATTATAAATGAATTTCACAGCCTACCATTTTACATTCATTTGGCAGAAACATTAATCACATCAGTAAAGTGTACAATGACCATAAAGCATGAAGAAGAGCTGTCCTTATTCCTTATTGAACATAATGCATTATATGAACAAGAGGAGAAAGGTACACTCTAGTTTGGAGTGTATGTACAATGGACCAATACTGACATACAGTTAATTTGGCAATAATTATAATACAAATCTCCCAAACCAAAATTTATGAAATGATTTGGGAAGTGAAACATATAGGTGGATGAACCAGATCCTAACACATAAAACCATAAATAACAAATATCTTCTTGCCAAGTAAAATATCTTAAATATCCTGCAGTCTGATGGATATTTTGTGAGATAATTTTAATTTATTCCCAGTTGCATATTTATGATATTACAAATTACCTGTTAAGTACTTTGGTTATGCTCATAAAGCATCATTTCTTTGCAATTTTTTCCCTCTTACTGCCACGTGCAGTGGGTCTGAGACAGAAGCTGTTTTGCTGTTGCTGTATGCTGAATGACATTTTTCATCCACATTCCATAAATGAAAGTAATTGAAGTCTGTTAATATTTTTACAGACAAAGAATTAGAGCCGTGCACATGCAATTTTACTTGAAGATTAAGAGTTAAGAGTGAATTCAGAATTTGGTGTAATTAGTAGCCTTTCTGACCAATATGAAATAAGACTGATACTTTATACAATTTTAAAAATACACTTTATGAATGGTTGATGGCTAAAACTACTATGTAATTTTTCTTGCATTTCAAAGTTCATTACTAAATCTTCCTTCTTTGATAAATGAAAGTCACACATCAGAAGGTACTATACATTCATGAAGTTATATATAAAGTAAAGATAGTAGGCAATAACATATTTAAAATACAGGAGTCTCTGTATATGTATATACACAGGTCTGTAAATACACATGGGTTTGAGCTCTAAAACTCTTCACGGAATGCGAAAACTGGAATGTGGGTGGTGGCAAGGAGAAGGAGCTGTACCTACTACTCAGAATGAAAGTACTGACCAATTCTGCCTTTGCTGTTTGCAGAATCTATATACTGATTTCCTTTGGTATTTGTCAGAATATACAAACAAAAATATAATTCACTAAGAGCAGATCCTTTCCACATCACAGGGCAAAAGTTTCTTACAGAGGCAGTTTGTGTCAAATATTTCCAAGGTAGATAAAAGCTGCATACAGTAAAGAAGCAATTACTTGCTGACTGGCTATTGCTTTTCCTTATTCTAGCTCATCTCTTCATAACTCATCCTACAGGGTTTCTGAGCTCAGACCAATACAGTATGTATAACATGTACATACACACATGTCAATGTGTGTACAATGCTTTAAAGGTGGACCAGTGCAACATATTACAGTTTCTTTCAAAATCTGGTGAGAAATTATGTTTTATAAGTACTGCAAAGTATGTTTCAAATGACATTCAGTGAATGAGTATCTCTACATATGATGCAGAACTATCATGTAATGAATATGATAACAATTATGTTAAAAAAGAAGACTGGGCAATTTTTAACTTGTGTAACACTTAAAAAAACTAGACAATTTTTAACTTATATAAAATTTCCATGAAGTTCAACACTTCACCAACCTATTCTGTAGTTATATTTATATTCATGATACAGCAATGCCTATTACACACTGTGATGCAGTAAGGAACTGTACTCTAGCACATGCTAAAAATTTGCATGAAACTTGATTTCTTGCCAATAAAACTGGCATAACCAAAGCATGTACTAAGAGTCAAAACCCTTGAAACACTGAATACAATTCAACAATCCTTTGGTGTGAATTTTGAAAAATTAACTAAAGAAAGGAGTTCTGTGGCAGGACATTGCACCAAAACATATACCAGATTCAAAGACTGAACAATCAGAACATGAATGTGTATCGTTTCAATGTCCTGTGAACTTTAAACACAAGTTTATTTTACTATATCAGATCATCTTCAGGCTTTGTCAATCAAAACTATGATAATGATAATGATGATGTTGCACTTCTAAGAATATCACTGTCATCTTCTTCACCATGAGAAATTCAAATCTCACAAAACCTGGGATGTTATTATGGAAATCACAGGAAACTTAGTCATCTTATGCCATACTGAATATTGGTAACTGTCAATACCTGCTGCAAAACTATAGTAAGAAATGCAATGCTTTTACTAGCAAAATTTTAGAATAAAGATGGATCCTCACTCAGAAGCCTCCACAAAATACACTTCTTTCTTGCATCAAAATGTAGGCAGCACCTGCTATTTCACAAAATGCAGCAATGATAAGTTGACTGCATGAACCACTCTGAAAACAGTTCCTTTATTTTTCTGAACAATCAAGAAAGTCCTCATCTATTACACTTCTACAAAAAGAACCTTCTTTTCACCATCGTCTCACTGTTGTTTTTTTAAAGCCAACCACCAAATTTTAAGCTTTATCCTCTACAATAAATGCAATTCACTTTGTAACATTGTTGTTCAATATACAGCAAAATGACCAAAACAAGTAAAATAAACATTTATATGCAGAGATCTCTAAGATACACTAATATTAATAGCATAATTAAACATTTCTTGGATGTCCGTTTCATTCTGTACAATTTTGAATAGTCTCTTCTCGATTTACAAAGAAAAATGTTTAATGTTTGAAGTGATTCTAGCAGCTTGTCTGCTGAATTTAGTGTCCAAGGATGCCCTAGATTAACCACCATTGTACCAATGACATGCAATTCAAGGCTTTCCCTCAATTCCCCTTTGGTGCACATGTATTGTGTTGCCTTACCAGTTTATAATTGTACAGATGTGATACATATCAGTTTAAATAACATAAAAACATTTACACTAATTTTAAAACTAGGTACCTGGTTGAAACTGCAGGAAATGCACAGCATGCTTTGAAAATATGGCGACATTCAAGGATATGCCTTTAATTTTGAGTATGGATTTCTTGCAGATTGTCAAAATAGGGCTTGAACTTAACATGAGTGATTCTTATTTTTATTTCCATTTTGCCTACAGCCGTAAGATGTTTGGATGATTGCTGGATTCCATTTGTATGGCACAGTATGAGCAGTTTTACTGAATTCCATATCAAACAACAGGTAAAGTCAACAAGGAGGATAATGGAAATGCTTCTTTAAAGGAACACATATGCATGTGGAAAGGAAAGACTGGACCAATGCATTAAGAAAGCCAGAGGACCTGAAACTGAAAAGATGGGGATTATGAAAACTGCAATGTGAACATATCACAGCTATAATATTTCAAGATAATCACAAAATGTTCCTTCTCAAGCTCCATCTAAATGATGAAATAATGTCTCAGATAACTGGCAAAGATGGCTAGAAAGTCTATATATCCAGCCCATCATCTGTAATGAACATGGCTGATGTCAGTGATCAATCATGACACTAGAAGTATATTTTGTACTCATACATTTAGATTATCTAAAGAATGAAATATTAAGTTCTCATTTATTAAAATTATAAAGCTAAACAATCTTACTGTAAATCTCATCATTAGGGTTTCAATACAGTATAATCTAAAAAAAATATGGTGTTAAAAAGCTGACAATGAACAAACCACAAATTCATGACGCAATTAATCACATCACATTTTTAAAAACAACTACCACTTGAAATCTGAAGGATGTGTTTATGTTTTGCAAGAAGAGGATTTTATGTAACATAATTTTTATATGAATTTTATACAGTGTACATACTTTTAGTGTTAGCTACTAAGAAATACAAGCACAATTTAATGGAAATGATTTTCACAAAAGACACACCACCACATTTGTTTTAGAGAATTTTCTAAACCCTTAATGATGACAATAAACATTACAATTTTAATAAATCATAAGTTATATTTGTTGACCTGGATAATATAAATGCAGATATTTATGTAACTGAATGGTGAATAGATATCATATTTGGTGACTTTATTTTACATTTTCTTATAAATACGTTTAATGTAAATTTTCATTTTGTTTGACATGGCAAGTGGTCCAAGATTCCTTGCACATAAAAGCACACACCTGACAGAACTTGGTTTTGCAGCAAATAATATCAGCAACCAGAGAATGGATAGGTGGGGGGGGACTTTCAAATGTAAACACCATTATCTTCCATGTTCATTGTTACATACATTAATTCCGCAGTGCTCAATGATATAAAAACAGAAGCAGATGTGAAGTTTGAAGCATCAAATCAAGCACACTCTAAGCATCCACACTGGCTGAGGAAAACAAGCATCCTATACAATGGGCACAGGGGGCATTTCCCCAGTGGTAATGAGCATAAAACTTGACCACTTGCCTTCATTAAGTACAAAAGTTAAGAATGTGTAAAGCTATACCTTCAGTCATCATCACCACAAGAAGAACTTTAAAAAAGTTTATACATGGTTAAACAATTGCATAGTTTTGTAATTGTGACTGATCTGAGCCTGAAATTAAGAAAAATTGAACATTATATGGCTGTAGTAACAAATATTACGTTGCAGTGAATTTTATATTCTGTCTAGTGTCATATACAATTATTTTTCAGACTTCAAAGGAAGGGAATCCTGTTGACAATTATTATTACTGAATGTCTGAACCTTTTAGGGTTGACCTCTTCACAAGTATGCTCCTAGTCACATCAAATGAGGTAAACTTAAACTGTCTGTTGTAGTAAGACAGCACTATCAATAACAGGTAATTATATTTTTTAATCATAAGTGATTTTATGTGTTGTACAAGACATAAAAATTTAAAGTTCCGGAGAATTTGACGTAAATACGTCTATACGGTAAGGAGTTTATATAGTGGCGTTATTCTAAATATTTTCTTTATACACGCTTTACAATTGATTGAAGTTTGAGTAAGACAGTACTGCCTACCTTGAATTAGTTACACCTAAGATGGGTCTGTGGTAGCTGAACTATGTTATAAAATTTGTACATTTTAGAGTATCAACATATCGTGCTAACACCATATCTATACAAAATTTTGATCTAGTAGTACTACATCAAGGATTTGACATCAACATTAAGCCAAACGTTTCCTCCATAAATGTGACAAAGCTTTGATTTTCCTCCTTCTTTAAATCAATGTTAAAATCTCCTGTCAATATTATCGGCATTGTATTAGGATCTTCAGTGGCCTTAACTGAAAACATCTTTGTATAATTTCTCAAATGACTCAAAACAAACTAACGCAACAATAGATTTCTTAATAATTCTTATATAAGATAAGTACCTGTGATATTGTAAAACGTTTTTACCAGCACAAAATTATCTAGTCTATGACGCACTTCTTCTACAAGCGATTCACAGCTCAGCTCTTTCTGCAATAACGAAAGCGGATTGTTGACGGCAGTAATGTAACACAAAAATGCCGAGTAAACAGATGACGTTTTCTAGGTAACATAACAATGCATAAAAGCTGACCACTGTTGTCAGTCCATATTTACAAATTGTTGATATTGATTGTTGATACACATTTTTCTTACTTTTTTGCGGAATGACACTGACCCTTCCATATAGACGTATTTACGTCAAAAAAGGTTTAATGAAGGCAGAAATTACTTATCAGATGTTCACCACCTGGGATGGCCAGTTGAAGTTTCCAGTCATGTGATTGATCAAAGAATTAAATTCTGGCAGACTGACATGCATCAATGCATAAACTCATGTATTAGTACACAGGTACTGCAGATACTGTACATACTGCTGTTAATAGAGAGCCTCATTTTTGGACGTGTTCACCAGGTACCACAAATGATGTTACAAGAGCACAAAGAAAGTAGAACTGACAAGTAAGTATGAAAGCAAAGAGGAGATGAAACCTGGATTAAACAAAATGACTGTCTTCTGGGATGTTGTGCCATGTGGTCTGCTAGTATACCAATATTTCAGAGGTGCTTGCTGCCTCCATTATCAGGGCAATGATAATGGGTGCCCTAATGATAGAGGCAGAAAGCACCTCAAATGCTGGTATACTTCTACAACATGGTGCAATATCCCAGAAGACTCATCTTCATACTTGTCACCATGAGAAGATGATACCTCACCTGGATTTATCAGTGAGAAAGAAGTTCAAGGTTCAGGTAATATGTAGCAAAATTATGCTTTACTTTGGGAAATGGAGGGCCAATTTTCACTTATAATGTGAAACCAGGCACATCAGTGACCACAGTAAAGACAGTTATACTATAGAATTGTTGAGTAAAGAAAATAAATTATTCTGCTTCACGATACTGCCTACTCTCAATCTGCCAAAAAAACTGGTATGAGAGAGGCATTACCAGATCCAGCACACAGTTTGGATTTGGCACTATGTGACTTTTGTATGTTTGGTCCACTGAAGGCAGCACTATGAGGAAGAAAGTTCTGGAGCAACAATAAAATGAAAACAGTGGTCAACTTTGGTTTTCAGAGAGAGAGCAAGAAAAATAAAAGAAAGAAGAAACAGAGGACTAAAATATCTAGCAAACCGTGGAACCAGCGTGTCGCTCTTAACGGAGACTATGCTGAGAAGTAAAATAAACTGCATTATTTTTTAAACTTACTGCAATATTGTCTTTACTTACTGGCCAACTTACATATACCTTGCATGTAACAACACAGCATATGACAAATGTACTCTATTGAAAACAAAATATGGTTAGGTATACAAGGAAGTCAACAGATTGGGTTTTGGCTGTCCTAAGAACAAAAACTCAATTGCCACAGTAAATAATATATATGGCAGTATAAGACGCACCTTCCAACAATTCTGTATGCTAAAAGTGATGTCATTAACATACATATGAAAAGAGGGTTGCTCAAGTGGGACATGTACTACAAGTTGTGGTCTTAAAATACACATAACAAACAATTTAATTACCAAATTATTCATAGAAATAAGCAGCATTATAAAAATTAAAACCAATCTCAGCTGAGTTTCAGTCCCGGAGAGCCACTGTTATTTCAAGCAAACGTCTGTTAGCACTGCACAGAAATGCCACACTAGTACAGTGGTAAGATAAAAGACAAAAAGTGTAATTTCAATCATGACTACCATTAAACGCCTTACACAGTTGCCATTACAATGCATGTATCTTGTTTTTACAATATAATTACACAACAGACATTAGCATTAATGATATCTGCAATGATTCTTAAAAATCATTATTGATACAATATTTAAATTTTTCTTTCCTTCAATGTACACAATGACTTACTCTAACATAGATGTCACTGTTATCACCACAGATTATACTCATAAAACTTCACTGGTGCAAATTTGGAATCCTGTTTGTATTTTAAATAAGGACAAGAATCTTAACAAGAGTTAACACAATTTCAATGCAGTTATATATATCCTTTAATTCTATTTTAGTATTTGGAGAACAGCTTCTTACACTGTTACATATCATCTGACACAAAGACCAAAAATTACTAATTTTCATCCACGCTATAATGTTTCAGGGGAATGTATTGGAAATTAACATCAGAAATTCCAGGTTAAATATTATGAATGAGGAAGCTATGACCTATGGAACAACTCCTATAGCTGCTCATGATCCACAAGGTGCAAGCACCTTATTTGTAGATGTAAACTCTGAAGAGGTGCACTTACCAGAAAGATGAAGATGTTTAGAAAACTGTGAATTGAACAATCTACCATTCAAGGTTGGGCTATGAACCTCTTCCAGCTAAAATACACAGTTTTCAAGGCCAATCGATGACTCTTCTGGATTATAATTAAAAATCTTTATAGTACACAGTTCTTCTAACAATACATTTTCCAATAAATAAAGCAGATTAATGTCCAAGTTCACTGCAATATAAGTTAGTAGCTTTGCTGCCAATAATATACAATATGAAAGAGATCATTACTAAGGCTAATAAAATCATTACATCCTGACCTGCAAGTAACCTGTAAGATGCAAACAAAACCATTCACTGAGAGACAGCATTTTCAACAACAGTCCTGTTATCTACAACGATGACTCTGGCTGTAAGAGAATATGATTTTGGAATGAAACTTACAGTGGATGCAAAATAACTCTGAGCTTGGATGACCCATTACAAATGCACATGCAGAATGAAGGGGATACTGCCTAATATGCATTCCTTTCAAAACCTGCCAAAATTAAGACATAGGAAATCAGTGAAGTGGTATATTTATTCTATAATCAGCACACTCTATGTGACAACCATTTATGATCACTATTTTATGTTGGAGACATCAAACTGACAAATTGGATAATGTAATCAGGACTCACCATGTGACAGTGTCAAATTTGAATTATCAAACAATATATATATAAATAAAGAAGGCAAACAATTCTTAACCTTTAACATACAGTACAAGGAGATTTAGTAATCTGTACTGTGGGGCAAAGTAGAATGGTAACTCCTGGGGCAAGAGTCTAGTGATATGATACTGCAATGCATGGCCAAGCACAACTAGCTGGATCATGCATGAGCTGCAACACATGGACCATAAAGGTTATGCTTACAGACCTCTCATAGCACATTTTCCCAGTTTTACTTCCAGATGGGATCCAGTAGAAAAGTGTGACAATGTGCACTACAGCATAGCGACCCACTTCAGAGATTAGCAATACCAATAAAATATTAAAAATAACCCTTGCTAAAAATTCTTGAACCTTTCTATTCTGGCCTGAAAGAACAGCCAATACGGATTTATTTGAATTCATAGCTGAGAAAAGTCTGCAATCTACGGATTGCATTTCAAAGCCACCTTTATACTTTTGTGTATACACTTTGTGTATGTAAGGAAACGTCACTAAATTATTACCATGAATAAAACTGTAGTGATAAGACATCCATGACAAAGCTTTTATGATCATGAACCCTCCCCCTTCCCTCGGTGGTTGCCACTGTGGCGATAACAGTGGTGACATGGTGGTGATTATAACAGCGACGATAGTAATGACTGGTGATAATGGTAACAGTAGCTGTGTTGGTGGTGTCTGTAATGCTGACCTGCAACATCATAATATAATGCAAGCCACAGAACTGACAATGATACCATTATGCAACACTTTGCACTGTAAAAAGTTCTGCAGAATGAAAATTCTTTCTTGAATAGTGGCAGGCACTTACACAGTAATAAACCTTTGGGTTCTACAAAAGACAGGCAATTTATATACTGGCTGAGTGAATATCAGCTTCTATATATATATATATATAAAAAGGTCAACACCATGCAGTGCACATAATTAAGACCTCCTTACAGATCACACATGCGTCTTTGATTCTCAATCTAACAGCCGACTAAAAGAACCCTTTAATTCACTTACATTACAATATAAAGCTGTCACCTTATATGAGATAGTGTTTTATTCCATTCATAATACTGTCTCAATTTTGGAAGTAAATGAAGCCAAAACTTTAACAAAAACATCTCTTAAAACACAGACATCTCACCTTCCCAGACTACATAAGCAAGAGATTTAAAGTAAAATTTACCTGCTGCAGTTGCTGTGTGGTAGTAGTGGCAACAGTTGTGCTATTGCCATGACATCACAACAGCTCATACTGGCGCAGGTGCATGCGCTGGATGATGTCACGGCAGTCATTGAACACACGCCGGATGTTCTCTGTGTCCACCGCACATGTGAAGTGAGGATAGCAATAATGCTTCCCATCCCCACTTGCTGTGCTGATACGCTGGAACATATCAAACGCTAGTGTCAACTACAATAAAATCACCATCAATTATTTGAACCATGTTATTTGAAAAATATAAAGAGTACTATGAGTCATAACTCAAAATTAAACGATATAAAAGTATTACATCAAGGAATGTTAACTCAGCATTTCATGGTAACAAATGTTCTTTTCACAGTATTTTCTTCTTACTTGTTCATAAAAGTATTTTTTACAATGGACAGATGAGGATAACACTGTACAACTCCAATATAATATGGATTTATAAAACTTGAAAAAATGCTTGGATTAATGAAAATACACAATATCAAAAAATCATTGAAATACATAACATTCAAGTCCATCTACCAGTTTGTAATTATGCATGGAATGCTAGAATATGGCTCTAAGGTTTAAAAATATACTACTGTTAAGAAAATATATGCTTTTTTAAACAGTTATCATGGAGTTATAATGAAGAATAATGCGATATCTTTTGTATTTATTGAACTAAAATTTCCTCTACAGTATAAGAATTGTATTTTCCAAATATACAAAAGATGTATGTATAAAAGTACTACTAATGTACTCCCGTGTGCATACATGGGCACGCACGTGTACATGCGCACACATATATATGTGAGGTAAAGTCAAAGTTCATAACTCCTTCAAGAGGCATTTCCTGTTTTACAGGTCTTCTGAAAGAACCAAAAATGACACACATTGAAATCAACAGCATATTACATAGATCATGCCATACCATTCTGCATGATGACCTTAACTTGCATTGTGTGTGAAGACACCTTGTTCCACAGGATCAGTGTGATAAATTATCCCTATTAGCTGGGACATGACTGACAAAAATCATATTTATCCAGGCATTCTGAGTGGGTTATCCAGATTAACACGATAAAAGAAATAAACAAGGATCCCCACACACAACTCTTCTATTGCACAGGTTTCTAGTTCTACAAATCTTGCAACATTAATGTTACATTTAGGTATTTCAAATTTATAGTCCAACAACAGAATGTAATTTAGTCCCATGGGTCAGTCTCAATCATCATTATCATAAGATCAAGTCCCACCTGGACCACATTTATATTATTATTGCCTACAATTGTAAATATTTTATAGATGTTTTAGTTGCTGTGCATTATTATTATTATTATACTGTATTTATTCAAATATCATTCATTCACACACAAGATGCTTATTCCACTTTCTAACACTTTCAAGAAAGAAGTCATTGCTTGAATGAAAATAACAGTAAAGACCAAAAAGTGACAAATTATATTAATGTCCCATTCTAGACATCCACAGAAGTATGCACAATGACCGATAAAACCTCAATAGTGATAAAAAATATAATACCATACTTACTACGACCAGTTTGCTTCACTGCTGCTATCACTGCCATCTGAATGGATCTCAACATCACCAATATTTCAAACTATGATATCACTACTTTTTAAACATGAGCATTTTTATTTGTATGTACTAGACAGACCTTCTGCAATACTTCTTTTTTTGTTTAAACATTTTTTGCAACTGGCCTTGGCTCGTATAGAATCCCAATTCCAATTTCTTTCATGATTTATAGTGCCTTCAACTCATACATTTCACTAGATATCAAACAACCACAATGCCACCATTTATTTAAATACAGAGAGGTTTTCTTCTGCCTCTGGGAAGTTTGCTTTTTGCTCACAAGAAGTCCACTGGTGGCTACTACTTTTGTGCAAAATAGGTTTATTTTTTAGTCTCAGATGCAACTTTCACTCCTACTTTCTGATCATCGCATAATACCCTATTTTTTCTCCTTCTGAAGAAATCTTCAGTTTCTATCAGATGGTAAACAATTGCAGTCACTTAGTTTCATTCATTTCCAACAGCTGTATTTTTCTGTGTCATCTTGGCATTTTACAGAAGGAGCACATGGAGTGAGGCAAGGTTTGTATGACATGTTCTGCTCAGTATCACTGTCTAAACAACATTTCTCGAATCTACGCACAAATACCTACTTTACCATCCAATTGCATAAATTAACCAGTATCAAATCTATAAGTGCAGATTCCAAGTAAAATGACATGGATGATTATAGCTGACCCCAAAAACACAGAAACCTGTTGTTAATGAAGTAGTAGTGCACTGATATGTGCCGTGTAGTGTCTGCAACTCACATAATAAATGTCACAGCAATTTCACTGAACTTCATTCTTTCTGTCTCCTTGAAGTATCAGTTCCACTGTACAATACACTCTAATGTTGCGGCTACTCTTGTGTTGAACAACCTCTTGAATTCACAATGCGCATGCAAGACACTGATATGTTTTAAACATCAAATCACATACTCTGCCTTCTGTTTGACCATCATTGCCATGTATGTCAATACACTGTTGCCAGCACATTAAACATAACTCCCTGCTCCTACCTCCCCCCCCCCCAATTCTTCCTCATCAATGGTTTATGTGCAATAAAGTTTCTTTCTTGAAAGAATTATGGGACACCCAGTACATTTCTGGAGCCACTACAGTACTGCTTTTGAGATAAATTTTGTATTAATGCAACATCCATCAAATATAAATTCCTATTTTCTAACTTCTTTACTAAAATTTGACCAAAGAAAATAATTCTTCAAGCAGAAATATTCTATTATCAATATTTCATGAACATACAAGTTTTGATATATGCTATGGTTCTTGAATGTACCTTATTTTGTGGATGCACAATGAAACTTAGCGATAACTGTTAAGAACTGATTTATGATATAATACATAGTGTGAGTAAACATACTGAACATGATGTTATTAAAGAGTTCTCAGTACTGTATTTATAATTATTGTACCCATTCAACAGAATCTGAATATATCTCAACTTATAGTCATGAGTGACCATATGACAACGTAAGTGAGACCATGACATGCAGATTTCTCATGAATAGCACATGATGCTAATTTCAAATTATACTCTTATGGTATTTCATGGGCCAATGTGAGATGGAGGAAGGACAAAGAAAAATTGCTAGGCATAAGTTCTATGACAAAAGCATTAAGCATACCTAAAAACAGGCCATTATAAAGAGATGGCCACTATCTTTATTCCAGAGAATTGTACATAAGAATTTATCTAACAAGAAATAAAATTATTTTTACTTAAAATTTTTTGGACAAAATCTGCAGATAATTCTCTAAGTACTTAATCACATTCAGAACAAAATATTCCTTATCCGTTAAGCAAACACCCACCAGGAACTCATCACGAATGAAGTATTTGGCTCGGATCACTTCAGGGTCCTCGCCAGGCTCAGCTGTCGCATCTATTGGTGTCTGATATCGTGAAAAATCAGCAAAATATTCCTCTAGACGTGACTTTCCAGCCTTTATCTTCTCAGCCAACAAGTCTTGTTTGTTGAGAAATAGAATCACTGATATTGTCCTCAGCCACCTGAAACATGAAATGATTTGAAGACAGAAATCTTCATACTCACCGCTGTGAAAACCTCAAATCTTACATGAAATGATTTTTTAATCATCTGTTTGTACTCCAAAAAATTGTTGGAGTTATCTTAAAAATAATACTGATGCAGCCATAAATTAAATTAGAAATATCTGCAGGACAACAAGCTCCTTTTAAAATATCACTCAGGATTTAACTTCAGGTATTTAAGACTGATGAAATATTTACATAACATGACAATCCATTCCTCACCTGGTTGTTACCATTAAATATAAAGATCATATACATCTCAAACTTACATGCAGAGCGAGTTTTAAAATAATTTTGGGGGGGATAAACCTTATGGCCTGAACGTTACAAATAGAATGAAACCTGAACAATTGGGTTCAAACTTCAGTACAGTAACATACCTATTGTTCCAAATACTTTTAAAGAGGTCAAGAGATTCTCTTAGCCGATTCTGTGTAGGGTCTTCCCTAAGAACCATGTTATAGCTGCTACAGGCCGTCACAAAGATGATGGCGGTCACGTCATTGAAACATTGAATCCATTTCCGTCTCTCATCCCGCTGCCCACCCACATCAAACATACTGAAAGAGATATATTTATTACATTCTGTATGCTATCATCAGTATTACACATCAAAAAATTATGGGTGTTGCAAGCAGTCTTCTGGGTTGTAACAGTAAGTCTAACAGTGCTGACTAGGATGGGTTTACATTTGACTTTGCCTGCTCCTGTTTCACAGATTATCCATAAAGGCAGGGCCACGACGAAAATCTATGAAGAGTAGTTATACATCACATCATTCTCTGGTGGATACAGTCTCCAAAACATTAGAATTTTATCATTTCATGTCATGTGAAAGCTTCATGTAAAAAGAACCCACAATTTTTCTTTGATCTGGAATGTAAATTTATCTGCAGTAGGAACATTAAAATATTTGAGAAGTAAATATGAACTCTAGAACTATTATATTTCTACCTGCTGACAAATTTTGACCACATATAAGAAATATGATAGTTGTTTGTGGCTCAGTCTTCAACTGAAACTTTAAAAATCATGAAAGTAGGCCCACATAGTATCACATATCAGGAAACAGAAAGTGTTAAGCTAAAACCAAATTCAAGTAAAATGAGAGAAATTAAACTAAACATAACACTATAAAACCTATTAGTGAGTCTATAAATATTTGTGGATGTCAATGTTTATTCCTAAGAGGTCACAGAAACAGCGGACCACCAAATTTTCTGAAAAGCCCCCAAAATAAAGTCAGTTACTTCTGTTTCTTGATGACATCATTAGAAGCATTAATTACTATGCCATATGCAGACTGGAATTAGAAATGCCCTATACTTGTCACCAAAAGTGCAAGATAGTAACCTGCATTAGCAAATGAAGCAACAGCTATACCTTCAATGGAACAGTTTAATATTAGTATTGGGTATGTTTACAAAGATCAACTGGAGAATACTATCCATAATTTCAGCATTTCACAAATGTTATGGTTTAAATTTAATGGAGGCATTGTCAGAATATCTTGAAAAATATTACTTAAATATTAAATTCATACTCAGACAAGGATATACTGGTGCTCTGGCAATGAGTGGCCAGGAAAATGATGTACAGGCATATATATGTCAGGCAAAAACACTTATTGTGGTCCTGCCAGCAGTCTAAGTTTAGCCATCAGATCAGTAAGCTTGTTCAATTGTTACAATCAAATTTTTTTTGCAAATGTTCTCAACAGATTTCTGAACATTCTTGTTTCTCTGCCTGTTACAATAAGCTCTTGAGAGCAGTCATTTTTAGCTTTATATCATGAAGGTATTTAAGGAGTATGCCTAAAACAAAAGACTGATTAAATGTAACAAATATACAGGGTGTCGGTAAAATAATGGTGGGTTAACAGTCATAGTTTTGGAACAAAGCATTCTCCAGTTAGATGGACCTCCTCCACATTTTGCCGCATTCATGCGGGATTACCTAAACCAAACATTTCCTCAGCGATGGGTTAAACAAGGAGGGTGGATAGCCTGGCTTCCACGCTCTCCAGATCTTACCCCTATGGATTTTTATTTGTGGGGTTATGTGAAGCAACAAGTGTTCTCTGTCCAAATAATAAATTTGGACCATTTGAAAGAACGGATCACTTAAGCTGTTTCATCTATCACACCGGATGTTCCCGGTCGTATATGGCAAGAGCTTGAATATCGTCTTGATGTCTGCAGGGCAACTAAAGGAGCACATATCGAAATCTACTGAACAGGTAAGATTCTTGGAGAGTTTCTCTTTATTTTGAAGTTTATTTCATGTCCCTATCGTGCTTTGTTCCAAAACTATGACTGTTTGTTACCCCACCATTATTTTACGGACACACTGTACATACAGAGATATTCATGCATACAGCAACATTTCAGGTAATGAAGCAAGAATGAATGAACTTTCTTCATAATGAAGACGTCTAGAATTCTGGTTAAAACATCTGTTTAGACTCACTAACTTTCTTGTAAAACTCCTCCAATTACACATTCCAACCTATGCTGCAGAAGGCTAAAAAGTTTCACGCATAACTACTCTGACATTTAATCCAGACCACAGCAACATATATATTAGTATTAACTACATAACACAGGATAAATGGTCATATTACAGCAGCTATGTGAAAACATGCATTTCTGTGAACAAATGAAATATCAAAAATGGAAAATTTAATGTTGTTAATAAACCCAACAGATCAGAAAAGGTAACAAAGACAATGCCAGAGATTCTGTAACTCACACTTTTTAGAAACAAAACAGTAAATTTTACTTGCAGAGGATTAAAAAAAGTCCATTCCATAAAAGCATTAAAGTTTTCAGACTTCTATTTACACCCCTATAAACGAAACTTCAAGTGATGTCATATGTAGTATTACGCAAACAAGCGCCAAATATCCATGATTAAACAGTTCAAAATTTATTAAACTTTAGGCTGACTACTGAAGGAAACTACTCGAGAAGCTAAAAAAATCACTCCTCTTGCTTATCAAACACATCTGACAAAAAGATATTTAGTTGACTGTCTTTTGGATTGTTGTGCCATGAAGTCTGGTAGAAGTGTACCAATGTTTCAGAGGTACTTTCTGCCTCCATAACTACAGTGACAAACTTCCATCAGACAATACAACATTATAACCCAGAAAATAGTTATGATCATACCCGCTGCTGTGAGAACTTCCAAATTTGATCTCTAATTAAGCATTAGTAAATGAACACAATTACATTGTCAATGAAACATAAAGGAAATATGTCAGCATTTATGAAGAAACAAGACATACAGATGACTATGAAGTTATATACTGTGCATATAGTCATGCTTAAAACATCTATCACTGGTGACCACACTTCTTTAGGAAAAATAACTAACATTATACTTACTGAAAATTGACTTTTTCCACTTGAAACCTTGTTTCAAATATACCCGATGTTAAAACCCGACACCTCAGGATATCCTGGAAATATAAGATACACTACTTACTAATAATTTTATTGTGGTATACCCATTGATTAAAGCATGAATGATAGAAATCTGAATGTACATATTTGGTCTACTAGTGAAATCAAACACGTCTGTGCATTTGCCAGCACAAGCTTTCATTTGTTCATGAAGGTACAACAAAAGATACTCAAGATACCTTATAATTTGGAAGTGCAAAGCACGCAAAAAATATCTGTACCCTGAATGCTGAACCACTAAGAGAAATAAGCTTTTGATAATTTGTTAATATTTAGCTACACATATAAACAAAAAAACCCTGATATGCATGAGTTCAAAATTAACATAAGAAGATTATTCTTTGCATTTTTCATGGACAGTGTTACAACCAAGAAGACTAACACCAACATCTTCACACCGTAAGAACCTCAAATCTCAAATACTGCCACATGCCCACTTACATGAGCACATCATAAAAGAGAGTAACTGATGAAGCAGGTGATTACAGAAAAGTAAAAAACTGTCTACTTGAACTACCAGAATGACTGGTATAATTATATGCAAGCTTCACGTCTTCTTTTGTGTCTATGAAAGGTGTGTCTAGCAGAGTTCCAAAAACTAACTTCACTATGGAACCCTTCTAAAGTCCCGAAGTACCAATGAAACCCTTTAAAAAGGCATGGAGGTATGACAAATAGCCAGAATGACGCTGTGAACAGACTTGCTGTCATTAACATTTAATGAGTGCAGTCACCTCCAAAGTAACCACCTGCCTTCTGACTTTAAACACAAATTCAAATGTCTTTGCTAGGACTAAAAATATTTTTCTGAAGTCCTTTCAGTACTATCATCACAAAGTTAGAAAAATCCTGACCACATCATTACTTTTTCTCTCCATTATTGTGTTGTAACAACTTCCCACTTATAATGTACTGAAGTTCTGATCATATGATTACCTTTCTTCTCCATTATTGTGTTGCTTGCATCATCTAAGTACCTATATGAGAATTTGAGTGACATAAATCCAGAGTACACTTTATGAAGAATGAAAATGGTGGCTCATTTACAAGTCCCCACAGTTTTGTAAACAGGATGAGAAACTATCAGTAAACTACTGAAATTTCATTTAGCTGAATAATTTAGACAGCTTGAAATACATACTACTGAACCACTAGTCCCAGAACACAATTTAATTGAATCCGCTATTCCCACTGAGAAACTGAAACTTTATAAAGATCAAAGAATTGATTAACTTCAACTCAACTACTGCAACCATGTAGCAGGAGGACCCTGCACTCAGACAAATATGACAGACATGGAACCAGGAGGAATTACCACAACAATGGAATAAATCGGTAATTATTCCGGTGCTATTCATGAAGAGAAGACACACCTAACTATGCAATAATGTGGCAACTGCTGCTTAGTTTTAGAATCATAACTGCATGTCCAAGTTTCACCATTTCCTACCTTTTTATGAAGCTTTGATTCAAGTACATCAGAAGTCACAGATAAGTGATCTTTTTTCCGTTCCTGTGTCAGCAGTTGTAGAATGATGAACTCTGCTGAGACATGCCTCATTCCCAAATATTCAGTTAAAATGGCTATATACAGGCCTACCAAATTACAGTATCTTCAGCCATCTCATGAATAATCAATTATCTTCAATGTCACACTAAATCATGAAACTGAGCTAATGGTTTAACGTTTCTACTGACTGAAAGGCATCAACGTTCTTGTAGATATTCATACCTCTTTAGAATGAAGGAACCACTCAAAACTCATTCTCTGCTCATTACTGCATGAACAAATGCTACTTGTTAACAAAATCTAATGCATGTGCACTGTTATCCTCAAACTGTCTCCATCCCTTGGCACAGTAATTCATCAAAATAGTTGTTATTCCTGTTGATCAGACCTTGCATGCACATGTTATTAATGCAAAATATATTTTTCAGTTGTAATGCTAATGTCTTTGCATACTTTCTTAAAATTTATACAAGTGATAAATATTTACAGGCCAAGGGCAACTAAATAAACATATAATTTTCAGAACAAGTGTTCTGTAACACTACATTTCAGTGGTTTGTGTGGAATTTAGAAGATTGAACTACAATCTGTTGACACAAAATACGATTTTCTTAGATAAAGCATTTTTCCAGTATTATTAGTCTCTAGCAAAATGCAAAATGCATGAAGTCATTACCAATATAAGTTGCAAATGTATAAAGTGAATAGTTAATGAAATGAAGCAGCCGGTACAATGTACAATGAAGCAGAGCCTGCCTCTGTAGTCTTCACCATAAAAGTGGGATTACCTGTCATAATTTTTAATCCAATGCTACTAACCTGTTCAGTAGGTGTGTAGTTCGGTTGTTTGATTATGTGCACTTTGTCTAGGAAGCTGAAACAAAGAACAAGGTATCATATATGTGTAAAATATCATATGAAAAATTGTTAAACACATTCACTACACTTTTTCAGACAATATACAGATTTAATATATTTAACCTCAAATCTATCTGTTAATTTATATGTCAAACATTGTCAAAACTTATATATATGTACAGCTATTGGTATTTTATTCTAGAAGCAAATTAATATTTCTCACTAAAATCAAAAGTAGCTGAGCCCAAAACAAATGATTAATGTTTGTCAGAACACAGAACAATCAAACAAATGGTAAAAATTATCCCAAAGCCAACTGAAGAGTGATAGAGGCCCACTTGTCTGGGATTATAATGATAACTTATTACAAATTTCAAAGTTTCTGAGAATAATTATTCTAATGTATATTCAGTGCACTTGTATTTTGTTCTGTGTTGTCCACTACTGCAACAAATTTTAAAAAAAAAGATCTGGACATGCTTGTATGTCTTGCTTCCATAATTACAACATACAATGGAAAAAGGTATTATAAGCTTTTTGTCATCTCTTGCTGCAGATCATGTTATCCAGTAACATTAACTTAAACATCTCCATTTTTCCAGGCAGTTGTGTCTTGTCAAAAATGAGAAGAAGGTTCTTGCCATTTGAATCACTGACACCATTTCTGGTCTGTTCAAACTTGTTTTGGGGTGGGATGAATGTATGCAAGTATAATCGTGTAGGAACTTTTAGGTTTCACCCAGGCCCTCACAAATGGCTCAGGATTGAGTCTAATAGCAGGCTTTCTTCCTCCAGAATAGTTGCATTTTGAAGTCATGCCAGAGTTACGATTCTACCTAATACATCACAGGCACACAAGCGTCAAATAAAAACCCCCATTCTCAACAAATTCCCCGTTGCGGGCAATTCCTTGTTAATGTTTTTTACCAAACCTGCCAGAAAGAACCAGCCTTCCTAATTCAAGCCTATGATAAAATCGAACAAACGTAGAGGGAGCCACGTTGCTTCTGTGTAACTCAAAACTAATGTCAGATTCTGAACTAAATCCAATTAAAATGTCGATTTATTGGGCGCTAACAAAACACCGCAAGGGGAGCAGAAAAATATATACCCTACGTAGTCATTGATTCACAACCACTTCTGGCTTTATCACATTTCAACAGCAAATAACCTCCCAGGTACCTATTTCCATACACAATTCTACCATTCTTTCCAACGGATGGGTACGTATTGTCAGGTGAAAATTCGTTACATCATAATCTAGCTACAACCCCTACCTGGCGTTGTATGCTATCACAACCCTTCGGGATAGTCTGGGGGAGGATTACGCCATTCCCACCCCCCGCCCACGACCTTGACTATTACGCTTCAGTGTTTATTTTCCACTCGCTGCCATTTTTAGTTTGGCCGCGATCTATAAATAGCAAGCCCGGTCTTTGCTCGGCTCGGAACGGCGCGGCTCTGGGTCCCTGGACTTCACCGGCACGGCTTTGTACTCGCGACATTGCTACAAACACAGCGAGCATTCCGCTAAAAAGTTTTTCATTTTGTTCTAAGGTCGTATTTGTAACACCATCGCTATACATTGCAATGCAAAGTTTTCATATTTAATGTTCGGCTACTGCACAGAGGAAACAGATCCTTTTCAATGTGGCACACACTATTAAAGCTGCCATTAAAACCTTTATATACCAAGAAACGGGTTCGTTTATTCGGCGTGTTTTCTAGCTGTCGTATTGGCAGACATGGAGATCCGGACTGTGAAGGTGGAGTGCAAGATCAATAGTTGAGGCGAGGCGAGGCAAGGTTGTTGCCGTTGCTAGCTAGTCGCCAATATAACGCGCTACCTCAACAAAAATTCACTCGTTGCAGGACTGAGTCAAGAAACGGGGGCTTCCCCCCCATACAGAAAAAAGAAATGCATGTCCCGCGAATCGCATTGTTCAGTACGAACCATGACGACACTAATTACAAACCCAGATGAAATGGGCCTATTTCTACCTACATTTGATGATCAAAAAATTAAGATTTCTGCCAACTTTGGTGCGCCTGTTAATTCGGAAAAAATTGTCCTCCCAATAGATAGAGTAGTATCCTCCTTCAGAAGCTGATAATCTCTCAGATGGTTAAATTCCCTGCATATTGAGGAACCAGGATATGCACTACCGCGTTCGGAATAACTCGACACGAAGCCTAATCCTGTGCCAGTTGAATCCAGCTACATATATTCTTTTAAAATGCATTAAAATATTTTTCTCATTCATACGCCTAGAGTCCTGAATGACCTCTTCCTTTCAGGGTTTCCTACTAAAATTCTGCGTGAATTTCTCATGTCTATATGCACCCCGCACATGACATCCTCCATAATCCGACAATCCTAATATTTGTCGAACAGCAAAGATTATTAAGTTCCTCACTGTGCAGTGTGTTTCCTGTTACTTTCTCATCCCTGGGTCCAAACACTCTGTAGTCTATGTTACTCTGCACAACACACACGTCATGCCGGCTATAAATTTACAAATGATGACTACTAGGGCTGTTAACGAAGTACAAACACTAGATAGTGTATGCTTTATTAGTCCCTTACTCTACCTTTGTAATATTCTTTCTGTATATTTTACACTTTTACAGGCTTAATTCTGGACAGTTATACATGGGATGGAGATTGCATTTACACATGCAAATATTACATTTCATACTGTAATTGTGATATTGTTTACTGTCATGACAAGACCTGGATCACAAATTTTACTTCTGACTTTCTCGTTTGTAGCACTTATTTCAATGTAAACAATCGTAGATAATCGATATCACCCATTTCGTAATTTCAAGTCAAGATATGGCTAGCATTTAAAAATAAAGTCGTCTACTGAAACTGTGTAATACTGCATGGTCCAGTCTGTAAGAGCATTTAAAAGCTGTTCAGCTAGTCAACAAATTCCCTACTTTTATGGAACCCTAAGGTTCATCACACATTCACAAGAGCCCGCCACTGGTCCCAATCCTGAACCACACGAATCCAGTCCGCACCGCCCCATCCTATTTATCTCAGATCCATCTTAATATACCTCCCACCTACGTCTAGGTCTTCCCAGTAGTCTCCTTCTTTTTGGCTTGCCCACCAAAACCCTGCATTCCTCTTCTATCCCATGCGTGCTACATGCCCCGCCCATATCACCCCCTTGACTTGATCAGTCTAATTATATTTGGCGAGGAAGCTCCTCATTATGCAACTTTATCCAGTGTCCGAGAAATTCATCCCACTTAGGTCCAAATATTCTCCTCAGCACCCTGTTCTCATACACACTCCCTTGATGCCAGAAACCAAGTTTCACACCCGTACTAAACTACAGGCAAAATCATAATTTTGTATATTTTCAAATTTGGGGTTTTAGACAGCAGACGAAAGACAAAAAGTTCAGAACAGAATGGTAGCAAGCTTTACCCGAATTCAACCTGCTCTTATTTCCCTCATGAATGGAACTTTTGTAAGTTACTCAACTTTGCCACATTTTCAAAGAATGAATTAGCTATCTTTCAGTTTTGATTTTGCCCTGCTTTCTCGTGATGAGATTAATTTCTGTTTGCTTACAGGCCAATCTCCTTACTAGCGTCAATTACAGCTTCTGTGTTTTCTTTATGGTATTTATGTTACCCCCCAATAGACTTACAACAGCAGCATAGACCAGAAGCTGATGTGCCCCATTCAATTTCAGTCCCACCTTGTTTTCTTGGGCCTTCCTAAAGCAAAGTTGAAAAGCAATGGCGACAAATTATCTCCTTGCTTTATAGTATTTTGAGTACAAAACGCGTCAGAAAAATGTTTACCTGTACGGACTTTAATACAGTTTACATTTAAACACATTTTAAATAAGCCTAACTATTTTAATGATACTCCTGCCGCTAGAATTACGAACTGCAACTGGACTCAGCAGACGGCAGAAACGAGAATGTACAAATTAAGGTCCGGTAGATTGTGTACTTCATTATTTTTATTGCGTGGATTTAAAACTGTATATTTTTTTATTAAAACATACCTGAATTAAGTTTATCTAAAATTGTTTGTTTCGAAACATTCTTTTTCATAAAATTTCAACACAACACGCCCACGCAAATCACGAGCTGCCAGGTTTTTGGTTATTCATCGCTACGGAGGTACGTTCTAGGTACTAGCGGGTTAAAAAATATCACCTCTCATACAAAATGTAACATTTCATAACTTCATAGAAAAAGTAAGTAAAAAAGTAAAGCAGTCCCACTATAAACTATGTAGGCGCTTGGGAGGAGAGGATGTATAGCTCCTACTCATTCTTAACCTCGGCATTAGATGGGGTGTCAGCGTCACGCCCCGGCCGCGCTGTACCCCCAGGGAAAGACCCCGGTACCCATTGGATAGGAGGTTGGGTGGGCCCTAGAGCCGATCTGAACGCAGAGGTTAGAGGAAAAATCCTCTGCCCCGAACTCCGGTCGTCCAGTCCGTAGTCAGTAGCTGCACTGACTGAGCTACCCTGACTCCTCCTCACAGAGCAATTCTTTATTCAAAAACTAATATTCGCTCGACTAGTACAGAAATTCCTTGCCTATTGCGAACATATTCCATGTACCGAGTTACATAACGCAATTAACCAGGCCGATAAGATGTCAAACCGATTTCAGTTCACGAATCTGATATCGAAAGACCCGTAACCCTGCATACTAAGAAAACAGTTGCAGCTGTATGTACGATTTGAAACTCTCCCTATGGGAAGCACGGTCTCCGCACAAGTCACAAAACACAGCAAGAAAGGGGATAGAACTCGATTACAACGTTCAGTGGGCGATAGCTTTTATATACTATCATAAAAGTGTAATTATTCCGACGTCTATGTACCGGGTGTCCGTAAATTAGCGGCCGATTTTAAGGGCGTGTTATTATTTATTTATAACACAAACTAAAAACTTACGCAGTGCAAAACAGTCAAACAACCATCAAGTTTTTTTAATGTGATCACAGAAGTTCATAAGTTTTCCGTATGTTATAATTAATTAGACGCCCTTCAAATCGTTCTCTAATTTACGGACATGCTGTATCATAAACAAATTTTCGAAAGGCAATCTAAGAAATGAGATGTGCACGATAGAAACTTAGTTCCGAAACGCGTCCACGGAGACGGACATGGCGCCCAGGGTCGTCCACTCTCTTGAGATGTCCATCAGTCACGCACAATGCTGAAACGCCCAGCAAGACGCGTGTGACATGTACAAATACGATGTGGATTGAAAGGTCTCAACCAACCACGAGTCGAACGACACGGAGGTTGCCGAAAGTGAAAGGCCGTGCGGTAGTACGTGCTACAGGACTGGCAGAGTCGGACGGAATAAGCTCCAGCGAAACACCGTTTCATAGATATCCAACTGGTCCGCAATGCTTGCCAGGTCAAAATCTGTGTCCTGGTGGACACGAAAGATAATCAAAACCCTCACAGTTCACAGAACTTTGGCGGTGAATTCTTTAAATTAAAATGTGTATCGCACAGAGGAGTGTAAAACGAAAGTAACTTACCACTCAGTTCCGCTACACATCACTTGAAATAAGTGAACTTCAATAGAAACAGTCGGAACGTTTAAAATGGACTGTGAGAAAATCCTGAAGATCTGTCTGGGTGTTCGTACATTCAAAATGTCAGGGGAGCGCGCGCGCGGGGGGGGGGGGGGGGGGGGGGGAACTTCATATTGAAGAACATACTAGCAAAAGATCGGTGAATCAAAGGAAGACATACACCAAACCCATGGTAAACAGTTGCCCGGAATTCGGTATGTTTCTGACCTTTTGGTTTGGGAACAGCTAACACATAACTGCACTTACCTGTTGCATCTGAAACATATCAACTACTTACTATATGATTCACTTCAATATCCTTTCAAATTAATTCTCCATTAATCATCCTCTCATTTGATGGTGACAGCGCAGTTAAAAAAGGCAAAAGTAATAAATAATTAACAATGCCCGTAGTTGCACCCAGGGCAGAGAAAAGAGAACGAAAAACGATGACCCGCGTCGGAAATTTCGAAGAAAAAAAAAGGGAACTAGAAAATGAGAAGTTTCTGGACCCATGTTTACATGAACTTTTTTCACCGTTTTGATGTTTAGAATTCGACCTTACATTGATCCCATTAGTAAATAAATTTATGCGTGTCAATGAAATTAAAAAGTTGGAAATCAAAAAGAGATCAGCTGAATTTTAGATACAGCACTACAATATATTTGTGGCTTAAATTATATAACATGCATAATGCATCTTATCTGCATACTCACTATTTTGCGCAGTCGATTAGCTGGTATTCATTTGACCTTTCAAAACAAGCTTGAACCCCTCTATCTTTCCATAATATTTCCGTGTGTTCGTAGAATTCCTGAAAAAGATAAAATTTCAATTACTTACAGGTTCAATTATTATTATTATTATTATTATATACTACAAGGAAAAGTCAGAAAGCAAGAGGTTCTGATTTTACTTTCAAGTATCGCTACTTCAAATGCACGATCACTACAAATGAGGAAATTAACAAAAATAATGAGAAAGCGCGACGTTCTTTGAGGTCTTCCAAAGTATTTTTTCCATTGTTTTTATTTTATGGAGACCTGTAACTCATTTTCGCAAAGCATTCCTTCCTAATGAACGGTTATAATAAAAATTTACTACAGAATCTGTTGCTAAACCTCCATATATGACCTCAACCTCCCTAGCCTCTGTTTATAGGGGAGTCAACACAAATTCCAGAAATATTTATATTATTGAAGCGTCGTTAAAATATGTTATTATTCAAGTCCTAAAACAGCAAATAAAATTTAAAACCTAACAAGTTACATGCACGCATAGTTTAACTATTCTGGGCGTTCGCCAGATTTTGACATTTTGATTGGCTGCTGTCAGTGACCTCTTCGTAGGTGGGATGTCAGGGGTCTGTGAAGCTTGGTTATGACTCCCCAGGTGACAGGGGCAGCCTGGAGACACCAGACGTGGGGATTCCCAACTCAATAATTTATCATAATCTACTTTTATCTCTTCGTAACAGCATGTTCATGTCAGGTTGCACACCACGATTCGATTTCCAGGTCCTCGTCTGATAACAGGCTGGCATTTAAGAATGTGGAGCTTCATACTATGTATGGGCACATCATGCAGCGTGTTTCTACAAGCCCACAGAGCGTTATATACTATCCAGAAGAACAACACCGACAAGCCTGAGATAACCCGATCATGTTTTCTTTTTAGAGTTAATGACTGTCAAAGCAGTTGGTACATATAGTTACCACTCGCCTTCAAAGGTTTAAGGGTTAAAGAACAATGTAATCCTATGATATGCAATGCAAACAAAAACCATTTGTAGCTCTCGGTCTTTCTCGTGGACTTGTCCATAACAAGTTGTCACTACGCTTTCGTTTTCACATTTTTGGTCCACATCATCAGCTCAAAAGCAGAATTCACTTTAGGATTTACAATTGTAATACAAAAACTTTCCATCCAGTGTTCATACTCAAATCCGGCATTACAAAAGTTTAGTCATGAAAAAAATAACGCATCTGAGAGTAAGTACCCTGAGAGGCGGAGACCGACCGAACTGGAAATTAACTCGCCTCCATCTCCACGTGCAAAGACGAATGAAGGCACGTAGCACTCAGTGAAGTTCTTTCAAAGATCAGTGTCATTAAATAAACGAAACAATTAAACAGACAGGGTGACCGGTCAGCTATTTTTGCTGTTCCATCAGATACGTTTTCAAGAAACCCTTCCTCCGAGCCAACTGAACGCTTCACGCCAATTATTCGAACACGACTTACGCTTTGACATAACAGCTCTCGGCGGAAGACTGAATAAACAAAGAATAAACAAACAGATGCCAGATCAACAACCTCTTCCCGACAAAGCATACTTGAAAGTACTGTCAGAGTGTACTCCAAATTAAAATGTATATATTTTTTCATATATGTACGCTTCAATCATTATGGATATAATTTAGGTTAATAAGGGGGCTGTTTAATTATTTCTAATGGCTACGATACATTTCAAACCATTTAAACAGTCTGGATAAACGGAAAATGAGCACCTTCCAAGCGAAATTAACGCTCGACAGTGAAGAAATGTGAATGAGCACAACACGCAAAAAAGGATGTGTCTTAATCTCGTATCCAGTGCCTCACCGCTAATTGTAACAGCAATAACTAGAGCAAACCAGCAGAATTGTGTGTTTATTAGCTTGTAACTGGCGTTCACTTTTAGTCTGGTTCTGATGGCCTTACGGCAACCGGAAGAAACTGCCTCCTGCAAGAAGCTACTTTTAACACGACAAATACTACACTATGGCCCGGAGCTCAGACGCGGTCCTAGAAATGTTCAGTCTGGCCTGTGGTGATATTCGAATAGGCCTATTAAAATATCCCGAGACCACGATGGCTGAGAAGCGAGGTAAACAATACTCCTCACCCTTCGTCCTGCGACCAGCGTTATGGTCACACACTGCACGACGTGTTCTAAAAACACTCAACTGGTAATGGAACTATTTCACTGTTACATACGATTGCAACATGCATTTATCACCGCTCTGTAAACAGGATTTCTTACACAAGAAACAAACAGGAGAAAAATGTGTAAGATTTGAGTTTTTCACAGCGGTGAGTATGAAGATTTATGTCTTCTGGGTTGTTGTGCCGTGCAGTATCGCCCTGATGACGGCGGCAGTATGACCTCTGAAACGTTAGTAAACATCTACCAGACTACACAGCGCAACAACCCAGAAGACAGAAATCTTCATACTAAGAATCGCCCTGATGACGGAGGCAGTATGACCTCTGAAACGTTGGTAAACATCTACCAGACTGGTAGTATGACCTCTGAAACGTTGGTAAACATCGACCAGACTACACAGCGCAACAACCCAGACGACAGAAACCTTCGTACTCACCGCTGTGAAAACCTCAAATCATACATAAAAAGTCAACCTGTTATTACTTACCACCACAAACACTATTTTGTACCCAACCACCGGTAAAAGTTATCAGTAAGCTTCAAACCACCGTGCTGATATGAACACCTACAGAACACAGATATCAAAACATTTCACAAGAATCGAAACTTACGAACGATCGATGATCTGAAATCGAGTTTCGTCCTCTGCCGTACAGAAACCAACCGCGTATCACGATCGCGAGTACAGAACAGCGCGGAAAGTTAGGGTTGCATATTTGTTGGCTTTGATGTCAGTAGCACATGTATGAGTACACATTTCCGCCACGTTAAATGACACTCATTTGCAAAGATAAAAATGTGAACGACCTTTGCACTGCGAAGTTCAGTTATCTGTCCCCAATCCAGGAAAACAATATCATTAAAATGACTCCGCTTTCTAAAATGACAAGAGCACAGTGATGATGCGACTGTTATTTAAAATTAGGGCTATCGCTCCAACTGAATTAAAACCACCCTTTCTTCTACCCATCCCTAAGGACTGGCAACAACTCACGGACAGAGTCGATGTGCGACTACTACATTTCTGCAAGACGAAGTAGGCAGACGTTGCCACTTTGAAACTTGATGAGCATGGCAAATGTTGTCGGGAGATCCTTACAGGCGAAGTCAGTTTTGGCAAGCGGTTAACAAACTGGATACGACCCAAGGGGATCTTCAGTAAGGTAAGAATTTTTATTGCTGAAACGTAGCTTAAAGGTTACGGTTGTGGGTCCCCGAGATCATATTAATGGCCAATTTTGAGTCAGGGCCAAAAATAAGGAATTTATGAACCAATGACCCAACCCTCTGAAGCCGTATCTCGTCTAAATGTTTAAAAATTCAATCCGTACCTCAAAGACAACAATATTTCATCATTACAAACATTAACTGGTTAACGCTGTTTAAGAAAATAATAGCTGTTTGCAGTGAGAATCTTACGAAACACACAGATACCCTCTGTGGTCAAATCTATAAATGCAGGTGGTATATACATGTACCACTGAGCTCTAAATGTTTAATGTGCATATTAATTTTCTACAACTTGATAATTATAACACGAAACTGACAACAGAATAGCAATTTTCAGTCTGGGGTACAAGTTTATGAACACGGCAGGTGCAGGATATTACGCGCATGCAGAAGTCATGAACATATTCTCTCGACACATGTGCACGGAATTCACGGCAGTTTTACCGATATGCGAGCAGATAAACCGTGGAATACGCATCCAATAATAAAGACAGCCCAGTTTTGGTTGGAGCAATATCAAATTAACTTACGACCCATACTCACGGTCTAGTTAATGTAAAGGCTGGAAATTCTGAGACAAAAACACATTTCACATATCAACGAACTAGACAAATTTAATGTCCAACTTCGGCTTTCTGGGATGAGCCACGCAAAATGTTAAAAATTACCCAACGTTTCGGCAAACATTACAGAAGCCATCTTCAGGACGAATATGTATTGACTCTGAGAACGACAACTGTAACGCGGCTCATCACACAATGCCGAAATTGTTCACTGACTTCCAGCAGCGAAAATCCAAGGACAATAATTATACAAATTTAAATGATCTGCATAAGAACATACCAAGCTGACAAAACTGAAACCCGCCAAGACATAAGCATGTGCTATGTGTGGCAGTTGCCTGTTTTTCGCAATGAAAAACGTATAATAAATAATCTTTAATTCGCTGGTCACCACTTTTCCATTCATTGGCGCAATTTCCGCTCAATGAACTGTTGTACGCTTCGCAAGCGCTCTTCCATACCGATACTCACTCAGTTTCCAGCGGGGTCTTCTTCCGCTTCGTGACGCTCCACCCCAGCTAGGCAGGCGCTTATCTTGCATGAAGAAAGAATCTGCTATGCTCTGCTATGCATTCTACGTCAGGCATTATAATTCTCTCAGAGATGAAGCAAACGGATTGAATTTTACCATCTTGTTTTATTTTACAAATAAATCTATATTTCCGACATCAAACAACTTCTCTTACATCCTTAAAATTACATGCCTCCTCAAATCAAGCAAAGTACGTTCCGCTAAAAAAAAATCCACCACTACAACTTTTCAACAACTTCCACTGTCGCGACGTATGATTTCTGCTCTGTAGGCTCTTCTGGGAAATACTTTCATCTTCGCCGTAACGTCCAGACCGGCTCTTGACCGCATCCAGTTACAATGCGCGCTGCTTAGTGAAGTATCAGAGACACTTTTACCTTAAAATTACGTTCACTGCATGAACAGCTGCGATGAAATAGAACCGTAACATAAAATCATTCCAAACAAGCCACTGGAAGTAACCACTAAAGGCGGGCGGTCGCCTTGGGCGGCAAGAAAATGAATGAATACGACAGCAAAGGAAAAACTATGTAAAATAGAATATAATAAACGTCTGAAAACAAAGAGCGAGGTTCGGGGGGGAAAGGGCCAATCGACACTAATGTTATTAATATAAAGTATACTAAAAAGAAGACGAAATTAAGTGAGACAATGATCAACTATTTTTTTTAATCGAGGCACAGTAAGGAATTGCATTATAATTAACTCAAAAAGCCCAGCCTTACGGTCTACCACATAAAAAAGCTCAGAAGACCGGCCAAGTTCTACAACGCAAAACGCACATCTAAAGACGAGCAGAAAGAATGGCCTGGCACCGTGAAAACCTCAAATCCTACGACGTCTAAATCTGCTTTTATTTATTTATTTTTATTTATTATTAACTGCAAATGGGTTTATACCGGTAGCAGTGGTGCTACAGTAAGACACAACAAAACAACGAGACACAACAAAACAATAAGACACAACAAAACAATGCGACACAACAAAACAATAAGAGACAACAAAACAATGAGACACAACAAAACAACAAGACACAACAAAACAACGAGACACAACAAAACAATGAG